ACTTCGAATGGACCGTCGAGAACTTCGACTTCCACGCCTCGTATATCTTCACGACGCCCGCGCACCAGAACTCATGGGGCTACGTCACATTCAACCTCACCAACCCGGCGCTCGAGTACCAGGCCGCCTGCAGCGCCTCCAGCGACCAGCTCAGCGACTTCTTCTACGGCACCATGCCCTACACGTGCCAGGTGCCCGACGGCTCCACCACCAAGGCCACCTTCGACTTTAGCCGTCCTAGCGGCGTCCTGGACGTCAACCAGACCTGGACATGCAGCGACGAGGACGCCCAGTACCCGTAAGTGCCGACAAGCCTCTGCAGCATGAGTTGAGCATGTCTTACTAACGCTACCTATAGTACCACCATCAACGCCTACGGCACCGCCAACCTGACTCTCGCCTGCACCGACGAGACGTGGACCAACCCTAACTGGACGCTCGGCCAGATCTATACGTCCCGCACCGTCGCGTGCGAGCCCGTAACGATCCCGCTGAAGCCGTACCACATGACGGCTGTCGCATAAGATTCTACTTTGGGGTTTCGGCGCAACAACTAATGTGTTCGATTGAAAATGATAAATGAATGTCTGACCTAGGACGGAATCTGCTGGCACATAGCATATGAGAGCATATAAAGGGCATGACTACGACGTTACGATAGTATACTTACCTAGACACATACTGACAACATGTCGCATACACATAATTATAATAGAGAAAGTATGACTACATTCACATCATGAACTCAATTATGACATATGCCGCCCATGGCAGCTGTGACTACTAGCCGAAGCCTACAGCTTAAGCCCTAAGTGGCAAGGTTGGCTTGAAGCCGGACATCATACATCTCATTATGAAAACCCTATGCTGCTTTCCATGTATTGGAAACATGATGGTTGATTAAATTATTTAGATTACTTAACATTCAAACAAATTCGCATTATATTTTTGTATCACTTTCACGAACATTACATATCACCAAGGTTATTATCGTTGAAGCCACGGACCTGTTAGTTTCATAATGTAATAAACTAGAACCATCTATTTAAAAGTACTAGATAATAACCTAAGCCTCCTATCCTTTTTCTTTTTTTCTTTTTTCTTCTTTCTTTTTTGGTGTGTGTTGTTTTTTTTTTTTAAATTACCAGATAAATAATGACTCAGCCGCCCACCTTTCAATCTGAGTATGCTAGGTAAACAGTAAACAGCTTTCATCTAATCACATCAAGTTGTGCGGTGTCCCACTTGCTGCAATTGGAGAAGTAAAATGACGGTTGCTGGATCATGGACTCCGATTCCTCACAGACTTCATAGTGACTAGTTGTAACCACTCCGCCCGTCTTCGGCGGGCTGGTAATACCCACCGAGTCCAGCTTCAATCGGCTGATTATAACCACCGCGACCGTCTTCTGGCTGGTTATACCCTCCACGACCATCGTCACACTCCACTTTGACTCTCCTCCCCAGTGGATGCTTAACTCCCAGATTATCTATCCCCCTCTTACGAGAACTAGGAATAGCCTCTACTGGCCGGGTGTACTTGTCACAACAAACATCAGTCGGCCTATTGTGACCGCCTCGGCCATGGTATCTAGCCAGCGCCTCACGCTGGCTGATACTAGTCCGAACCCTACTCCACGGCTGGTTGTACCCGCCCCGGCCGTCATCCGTCGACTTATTGTATCCACCGCGGCCGTCAGTCGGCTTGTCTGTATCAGGGCCAGGGGTTGTCCCTGGCAATACGGGCTGGTCGACGGAGCCAACATCCTGGTTACAATTGACTTTGGATTCTATCAGCGGCTTGCCGTCGGTTTCGGGGCCTGGAATTGTCTTGGGGGATACGGGCCGGTCGATGAAGGTAGCGCCCTTATTCCAGTTGACTTCCTTGAATTCTATTAGCACCGGTGGGGTGCCACCACGTGAGGCCGTAGCTCGGTATCGATCCTGACGCTCGTGGAAAACCCCGTGCGCCTCGTGCGTGCCGAGAGGGATGTGGTAGGAGGGCAGGTCGAACGTGGGCGCGTACAGATCCAGCCGAACATTTTCTTCGATGCCCTCGGGAAGAAGCTCGGGGTGCTCGCGGTAGAGGTACCGGGGGTTGTAGCCGTAGAGGTGGTCTTGGAGGACCCGCGGTAGCCATGGGATCCTTTCTATGACTTCGCCGAACGGCATTTCGAGAACTTCGGGCGGGGTGGGGATGGAGGGAACCCATTGAGGCCGCTCGGTGGAGGTAGACGACCCTGAAAGCCATGATGGGTCAACGGTTGTCTCGACAGGGTCGTAAAGAGACATGCTACCTATTCCGAGATCATTCGGTATGACGGTGGAAGCAGAGCTATCCGTCGAGTAAGAGAGACGAAATGTCATGTTGGGTGATGGGACTCACAACTCTGGAATGAATGCTGTAATATTGGTCTTGCTTAGTAGTGCGACCTTGTAAGATTGATTGACTTGAGATGGTGGAGGGAGTTAATGGTGAAGGTATGGCGAGAAATAATTCGCTGACTTTAGGCGGAAGGATTACTCAAATATATAACATTTCTAAACGACGATAATCAGCATCTTTCTCGGTATCATGCCTAAGGCTCAGGAACAGTGGTTTATATATACATTTAGTCATGCTATAAGTATGATATCAGTCTGGTGCGGATCCAACAGGCTATCTCAGAAGTCGTGTTGGAACTCAGGAACGTTCGAGTACATGGATTTATAAGTTTGATCTGACATTGTTATAGTGCCATCTCATTGTTTATTAACATTGTGACATTGTTTTAACCATGTAAGGTGTCGTATACATTCTTTCCCTTTTTAAGATTGACATTGAGACTTAGTTCCTTGAACTTGTAATGCCGCTGGAAGAGCCCGCTTAGCCTCCGGACAACATCTCAGTGCTGCCGACGCTGTTACTTGTTCCTACATTACACCAGCACTTAAAGTACAAGTTATCACACTTCGGGCATCTCTCAGTAGCACCCATCTTAAATGATGAAATATATAGATAGTTTAGATAGAAAATGGACCTGACAGTGGTGTGTAAGGAGTCAAGGAATACTGATGACAGCTCATGAATTTGATTTTGAAGAACAGTGTGCACGCCTCTTACTATTTATACATAAGCTGAATATGACTAGATGGCCGTGAATTCCACGAACACGCCTATGCATACAAGGGCATTGTTTCAAGGGTGGAGGCGCTTGTCATACGGAATATATAAGATGAGCCCTTGTAACAGCGCCCGCTTTGACGATCATTATGCGATGGGACTCATAATGTGATTGTTTGCCTAGCTTAAAAGTAATGTGCACAGTATGTCAGCTTTAGTCACATTCCCTTTGTTTTGGATGCAATCTTTTCAACACAAATTAGTGATTTCGAGATAACGAAGTCCCCCGATATAATCGTCAGACTACGATTGTCTTTCAGTGGTATTTGGTAAGACATAAAGCCTGATTCGAAACAAGGTAAAAGAGGTGTTTGCTGGTGAGCTGCCTTGATACTTCGTTAGTACAGAGGGCTTATTTCTCAAAAGATAACACTGCTTCTGATGGTTACCTCTGAGGGCGTAAAATCTTTGATTAAATATCGAGTCTTCAAGCCCCTTTTCTCTCATAGTTCCACAGAAGAATTTGTTGTTATATTTGGCTTTCATTGATCTCCCTTTGACCTAAGTGACTGTAAACTGATTCGTTATTGACGTGACTAGCGCACTCCAAGCTCGGGAAAGCGCCCTTCCAACGTCGCAATTCGCGCTACGAGGAGCCGACGAGTACATATCAATTGGGACTCAACGCTGATATTAACCCTGCATGCGTCTTACAGCCCAGGTCTGAAGAAGAAGTTTCTAAGTTCCTGACCACCATCGAATCACTTGGAGAGTCATAAGGCCAACCAAGCGATAAGGGTAACAACTATGTTGTTGCACGGAGAGCTACGAGGAGAGCTACGAATATAACAGCTAGGGGGTCGTCTGTATATACAAGATAACAGACAAAGGAGTCTGTTAAGAGAGTCCCAAGGGAGCCAATCCATGTCCTGATAGCTGCAAGGCTACCATCCTAGGCCAGGATGCCTTCCAGAGGACCCAGAGGAAGGCTGGAGGCTAGGAGGGCCAAAGCCTGACACACGGGATGAGTATTCATTAGAAAGATGCCTACCATTATTAACAGTTAAATTTGAAAATTTATTGGATACATAGATAGACGCCTGATGTTGCGCATAGGAATAAAGAATGCATGGTTCGAGAACTGCCGCAGGAAACAAGACGAAATCCCTTAACTGCGTCGAGGCCACGAGCTATCACGCCAGCTAGGAAGAGATAGGAACAAATATCAGAGAAATACTCCAGAACCATTCCAGAGAATTGTTTTACCTTCCAAGAAGTGTTAGCTTCGTCATCTGGGACCGTGTCCTTTCTATTTTTCTAATTTTCTAAAATGAAAAATGAAAAGGGGGGGAGGGGTATAGAAAGGACCCAGATATCGACTACTCTGTTCACCATAGGGTCAAGGGTTTATCTATCTATTTGTTATTATCAACTAAATACAAAAGGCCATCCAGCAATATGGTTTATTTTAATGGGTGGATCGTAATAATGGTTCTCATAGGGATGATTACGAGTGTTGATATCATTATCACCCGAAAGCTCGATTGACTGACCACGGCATAGAACCATCACAGTATCATATGTAAGAGGTGATGTAGTATCAACTAGTAAGGAAGCTTGGGAGTGTGGGTAAGTGAGTAGTTACCTACCATAGGACCATAGTTGCAGGAGCTTGATAACCGGTTGTGACTCACAGGAGGATCAGGAAATTAACGAATGATAAGGTAGAGATGCAGGAGCCTGCATAGTTAAAGGGAAAAAAAGAATCTAAAGATCAAACAAACATATACAGTACAGATAGTCGCTATAATGGAGAAATGGACATGCCATAGATGTGAAATGTGGAATGGTGAAACGAAAAAAAAAAAAAAAAAAAAAAAAAAAAAAAAGAAACACCGGGTGCCTGAGGGATTCGAACCCTCGATCTCTCCCAGGAGCCCTTGACCCAAAGGGAGTGAGTTAAACCACTTCTCTAAGGCACCATCTCTGCCTTCATTAAGCTTCCGTGAAAATAGGGACCGCAATTTGCCCACATATACCGCTGTTGCTTAGGCAAGTGTTTGCAGGGAATACCGCAAGCGCGTCTGGACGCGTCTCTCATGGTACCTTCCCAAACGTTGTAGTAAGTTGATAGGGTATCTCTACGTACTCTTCACGCTGGTAGGTATCTGAGGTCCTAGGAAGAGCGCCCTCCTTCCCAGATCCAGGAGACACAGTATCTACTAGATCTTCTTTTATGTAACTAGTTGATTCTACACTGTGCATGGAGATTTGTGTGCTTATTATTTTCTAAAGGGCGTGTATAGGCAGGCAAGGATTGCTTATAGATACCTACCTAGGTAGATACAAGTATATGCAGCACCAAGGTAGTGGTTAAACATTCTCAAGATACGTCCTACATAGCGGTACCACAACACTCTGTTCTGTAGCTATTGAGCACGTGCTGATACTAGCTACTTGGCTCTTTATGATATTAGATCGGGTTGATAACATACATATGTATTCGTTCGCTCATTTGCATGAAATCTTTTTAGAAAGTTTTTAAATAACTATGAGAAAGCAATACGAACAAACATTTTACCAAAAAGGATGCCCGATGCACCTGGTCATTGCATTAGTGGTACAAAAGACCAAATTCAAATACAATGAACGTCAAGAGATATTAATATAGGATTGTTCATCTCAAATGGCACCGTGACTACGTTCATGTTTAAATCTGCAGTGTGAATATGCCCCCCTCTGGTACAAGTTAAGGGGCCGTTGCGATTTAATAACGAAGATGAAGATGTGAGTATCATCAATAGCTTCATAGGAAAGGGAGTGAGGGGTCCTCTGGTAAAGCAATGCTCACGATACAATAAGGCACAGATCAGCAAAGAGACAAAGAGCACGTAAAGCGTGTTCGAGTACAACTTAGGTAACTTATCTTGGAGGAGAACGACACACTGAGCCAGATATAACTAACAAACGAACGGTCAGGCCTGATGATGAAAGTATTGTGTGAGATGTTTATATGTAGGGACCATTAGCCCACCTATCTACAAACATTAATAGAATATATGTGTGACTTATCACGATCACCAAAGGCTCCGACTATCAGTTCGATAAGACGGCCGAACCCTCCAAGCTGAGGTCAGGGGTTACTTAAGACTTATGAATACCTCTCTATCACTATACGAAGCCTTCAAGGCGGTGAATACACGATGACACTCACATGCCCTTATAGGACGTTACCCATTAGGCCATCACGTGAGTCCGTCTCAGGAATAAGTATCATAGCACAATCTGACGTCTTCCTTCCGACAACGTCAACGCGCCACAGTTATTACCAAAAGAGCTCTACCCAGACCACCTGCACATGCAAGAACTTTGATATACCAACGGGTGGAAATATAGACCCCCTCTCAATCTCCATCCCGATTGGCGGCGTTTCAGTCCACGTATTTGATGTCTCAGATCCTGCGAGTTTTCTGCGTCAACGCCAACTAACACGGCAAGACATACTAGAGGGCGCCAGGCCCACACGGTGGAAGACGCATGTCTCAGCCACCACGATCAGCCTTATCATGAAAGATTAAATTACCTGCAAGTCTCACCTCATAGGGCTTTTCTTGCGGGAACTGCGTGTCCGTCATGTGCTTCGGATGATTCATTCCTCGAGAACATTGAGTTGGAGGCGGGATAGGGTCGGTGGCTCTAAGACAATTCCGCGTAGGGAATCTTATACGTTGCAGTAGCGGCGTGCTCGGGGGACACAGCATTCGTTACCTTTGAAAAGTATTGGCACAGCGCCGTGAGCGTTAAAGATGTTCATGTACATTGCATGGCTCTACATCTCGTCTGAAACATCGCGAACGGTTGACTTGACATTTTTTTGAGTTTATGTCTAGGTACACAAGGTTAAATGTGACGTCGGAGTTCAGCAGGCGAGAGCTGATGTTGAGATCAGCCTAATAAATACCAACATCCTAAGACGAATCTGACAACGATTGACTTCTGGGTCCTTCAGCAGCGCAGACGATCCTCGCGCTTTTCTAAGTCCGCGGGCTAGCGCTACAGGCTCAGCAACATTCTAGGAATTTTTTCTTCGAGACAGCAAACGACACAGCTGAAAGGATAGTCGTTGGGACGGCGTCGGGGACGGGGTCCCAATGCGTGGGTTGTTGATGGGTTTCATCTGCGACGGCTTCCGGCGCCGCGCGACACGCCGTCGCCAGTTAGCACCTCGGTTGCGGATAGACTAAAGCAGGGAGACTGAAATTGGGGGTAGGGCTTCACTAAGGGCTTTCTCTTTCGCTTGCGACAGGTATATAGGATAGCTCGCTTGCGCTGCGGCACGGGTACGTAGTCGCTCTTGTCACGCGGCGGGAAAAAGGGTGATGCTATCATGGGAAGGGGCGGCGGATGAGCTACTACGGGAAGTAGATGCATAGCCTACCTAGGTAGACAAAAAATGCGAAGAGAATCGCCACCTTAGAGAGATTCGGCAACGGTTGTTTTCGGCTACGCAGAGCGCTTGTATACCCTATCAGAGGCAAGTGTTTGTGTTGCTTTTCTTGCGATTCCTGCAAGTATTACATTAGTTTGCCGACAAGTCATTTGATCGATTATTTATGACGATAGTATCTCCATCTGCTGTGCCTAGCGCCAGGAAACTGAAAAACAAGTAAAGACCCGTCGACTGCATAGTGATAAAAAGATAGAAAGGTGACATGGCGTGTGTTGCTAGTAATCTAAAGACGTCGTCACCTGTCGCACGGTTGTGTTAGTTATGGTGTTATGGGGAATTAAGTCGTCCGCTCGGCTTTATCATCTTTCGCCTGCCGTCGTGGTGATCGTGGGAGGAAAGTTATTTAGCGCGGGAGAGTCTTTGCGTGGGCCAGGCCGAGATCCCCAATGCACGTAGCCGGAGAAGGGAAGAGAGCGGCAGGCGGCGAACGGGACTAACGTGTTTTGCGTGTAAACTACCTAAATAGCAAGTTGCGCTGTCGATCGATAATCAGGGTCTACTAGGGAAGAAAAAAAAAAAAAAAAAAAAGACAATTGGATCTCCTTTCGCCGAAAATGGCTGTTCGAGTAACAGCTCCCATTGACGACTATTAGGCAACTTCGTTGCGCGCGAATTGGGATAGGGATTGCCGGTGTCTGGTCCCGATCCTGCTGCTGCTGCTACTACCGGATGGATCGAAAAGGCGCTTGGCGATTGGCATTATCATACGGAGATGCGAAGACCAGAACGTCTCCTGACGAAAGATGCTCTCTTATGTGCTTAAGGGGGCAGCCATGCCACGTTGTTTCGCCATGCTTGGTTGCAGCAAAACGGATGGAGGCGGATAGGGCGAAGAAAAGGAAATCCAGCTTTGGTGATGCGACGGGTGTGTAGAAGATGGGACTGCGTTGCGCTACCGTTGCAGGCGGGCCCTTGCTTTTCGAGGACTGAGGGTGGTGTGAAGGCGACGGTACCATCCATATAACCCACCATAAGCATCGTATATAATATGTCGGGTATGCGTTATAGATGGCAGCAAGCCGTGGCGAATGGGTCCTTTCCTGGTGTAACAACGTAATAACTAAATGTAAGATTTTCTCTATACAAACAGCTTCGTCATTGCCAGCGTGGGAATACACCGATTAAGTGCGCAACCCTTATTCGAATCTTGAATCGATTGAAATTAGCGGGACTTTCAAGTATGCGATCAATGATGGTGATTGCATACATGAGTATATCGTCGGTTGGCCAAAATTGGGTATATATTCACCAGCGAGCTTCTGGAGAACCAATGCTGCTTCGGACGTTTGGCTATACAGTATCAACAGGACAATCCTCGATTGGTCGACTATGACGACACGCCTAAGAAGGAAATGCGACTGTTTATGCATTCTGCATCGCTGCAATGCGACGCTTCTTGCTTCCCACGTCTGTTAATTCATTGCCCGAGACCCATCTCTGTTTTCCGTGGCACGAGGCGCGAAGGACAGGGCCTCTGTTAGTATGGGATCTGCACATCGGTGAAAAAAATCCCATGACTTGCAGAAGAGCAAGACGGGCCCGCCACTTACTATTAGTTAGTCTGGTCTGTCCCTAGCAGCCTAGGAGGGTTCAGGGTTGGCTGCAGGATGCCCAGTCTGTAGGGTGTCAACCACCGGTTCTAGACACGGCAGCGGCAGATGACGGCTCGTTCTTGTCGACTAAAAGGTGCGACCGCGAAACTGCAGAATGACAGAATATACCACCCCAGCGGCTCCACGATCTGGGTCCCTGACGGTCTAGAAAGATTCTAACGTAGGTTTGATATTGCGTTGCAAGATATGTCCCGGTATCTTGATCGATTTAGGTGCTATCCTTAGGTATACATACTAACCTTCGCTGAATAACTTTCGACCCCGGCTGACTAGTGGTATTCCGATGGTCCCATGTGGCCTGACAACAATTGACGACTATTTTTGCTACTGTGCAACACATCCGCTCGGTGTCCCGGCAGTACGCCTTACCCGATATCCCGATATCCGGGGAGAAGAGGCTGGCCACGGGAGTAGTTCGGACTGGTGGTTCTAGCCGGTGGTCTCGGGCTAGGGATAACGTGTTTTAATAATCAGTGACTAAGGGGTGCATTCTGGCAGCCCATCCTTCGCCTTCAAAGTCTCAGGCACGAGGAACGGCGCGACGTCATGGGCACACGAACGCTATAAGGGATAGGATGAAAGAGGTGTGGCTGGCCTAGGGAAGGTAGTCATTCAATTACCAATTAACCAATGGGCGATTAGATGGACTTGTTGGAATCGATTTGAACGGGAACGACCTTTTTCTAGTCTAGTCTGCCCCGAAGGTGGTCTGCTAGTACCGATGTACGTAGTACTTGCAAATGATCGGCATATCTTAGAAAGGCATCCCACCCTTGCGTCAAGCTAGGGAGCCCTTGTTCATACGAGCACGGGGCGCTACAATGCTCGTGAGAAAGTCTGGGGAAGAATTCTTAGTGTG